CTGAGTAATAGTTCTCTGTCCCTAAGTATCGTTTCTCTGTCCCCAAGTATCATTTCTGTGGCCCTAACTCTGTCCCTGTCCCTAATACAGAGCGGTCTGCCTCTGTTCAATGACTGCAGGCAAATGAAGAATTCCAAAATGGCCGCTATTTATAGCTCGACCATTACACAGTGCTAGCTGGCTGGCTGCTGATTGGCTGATGCGATCACATGTCGTTGAGGAATGCATTATGGGTCAGCGCGCCTTGTCTGCGCGCCTTCCCAGACATCCCCGCTCCGTCGCCGCACATGTCAGCCGCCATTTTCGGAAAAATTTCGATTCGCGCATCCGAATTAGGCTATTTTTTGGATTCGGCGCGAAAATCGAAAATTTTTCCGATATTCGACTCGAATTCCACTTCGGCTACTTCGATTCGCTCATCTCTAACTCTAATAGTCCATCAAATGTAGAAATAAGTGTTTCTTAAAAACATGCAACATGCAATTCGTGATTCATTTGTGAAAGTGCCAGCACACTTTTTCCACTCCAGCTGCAGTGCCTCCGCACCTCCTTTATGCAACCCCCAAAGGGCCGAAAAGCATTCAGGATCACCCTGGATCCTTCACATCACCGGCTAATAGCTCTCCTCCTTCAATATCTCTCCAGCAAGCCTTCAGGATCACCTAAGATCCCCTGATAATGATCCTCCTCCAATACCTTTCCAGTGCAATCTCCAGGAACCTCTGTATAGGTACTCTGCAGAATATATTACTCACTATACCAGTGAGCAATAAAAGAGATCCTCCATAGTGCAGTATTTTTAAGCAAGACAGTCCTTTAATTGAATCAGAAGTACACTCACATTTCAATGCAGTTCCCTTCCTCTTGCTGTGTGTGGGTATGCTGCATCCATGTGGTACTTCCTGGGTGTACTAATATGGCGTCCTACACCGGAAGCTGCATATCGGCATACGTAATATTTCGTTGCTCTCTTCCATGGAACAGCAACTTAGCAATATGAATGATTTTCAATGGACCACCAACTCCTTACCCTATTTAGGAATTAATTTGACGGCTTCCATTGAGACACTTTTCCAAGCTAATTATCTTCCTCTTTTCAAGCACCTTAAAGAGGACCTCTATCGCTGGGCTACTTACTCTGTTTCTTGGTTTAACAGGATCAACTCTATTAAAATGACTTTTTTGCCCCGACTATTATATTATTTTAGGATCTTACTAATTACGATTCCGAAACATGAGCTAAGACACTTACAGGCCGAGGTGCTTCATTTTGTTTGGAACAATAGAAGGCCCCAGATGAACCAAAAAACATTATACGCCTTGAAATCTCATGGTGGGCTTGGCCTCCTTAATCTTCACACATACCTCCAAGCCGTCCAAATTGCACAATTGGCCTATACCACCTCTAAGGGATCTATTCCCCTTTGGGTTTCTATTGAAGCTCTTTCCTGTCTACCCTTGGCGGTTGGTGCTCTACTTTGGCTTCCTAGTCGCTCTCGCCCTCCTATATTATGTCCTACATTATCTTTCTCGTTGTCGGTCTGGGATAGGGTACGCCATTGTAAATCCCTAGCCTCCTTGCACATGCCTTTGTTCTGTAATCCTGAATTTATACCTGGCCTGGTCCCGTCTGTGTTCCAATGGTGGATTAACAAAGGGTTACTGAGGATAGGTGACTTCCTCCAGGGTGCCAGAATCTACCCTCTTTAATATTTTAAAGATAAATTCAGACGCCTCCCACCAAAATTTTTTAATTTTATCAAATTGCCTCTTTTATCTGCTCAAAAATTGCTTCGTTAGATGAACCACCTATTCTTACCTCTTTTGAAATCTCTTGTCAAGGTAACAATTTTTCTAGAGGCTGTATTCCTACGGTGTATGCCAGATATATCATACTGGCGAGATATAGCCTTAGCATTATCCAAAGTTTCTATCAACACCACCTTTATTGAAGTGAATTACAAAACCTTATTGAGGAGGTGCTTGGTCCCAACTCGGATTGCGAAGATGCATCCGTCTACTTCCCCACTGTGCTTTCGGTGTTGTGGCCACAATGGGTCTATGTTTCACATCTGGTGACAATGTCCAATAGAAACTAGATTTTGGATCCACATATTTAATTTAATCTATACAGTGATGGGGGTGAATGTCCCTTAGGGCTCCAGAGATGGCCCTCTTCCATAAATATCCCACTACGATACCAAAGAACTCCCTTAAACTGCTTACCTATATGCTGTTAGCAGCAAAAATTACTATAGCTAGACATTGGCAGAGTTCTCTTATTCCACTTGAATATGTTAAGAATAAATTAAACTGGATCATGATCAATGACAAACTGAACTGCATTCTACACAACAATACTACTAAATTTGACAAAACGTGGGACCCATGGATTCAATATATCTCTGTACCTTGATCTGTCCCGAGGTGACCCTCTTCCTGTTCTGCTTCTCCTTCTTTAGCCTCTTCTTTTTTCTCTACTCTTATTCTTCTTTATTATGTCCTTTCTCACGCCTCCATGTAACGTGGTTGGGTAAGCCCAATTTTACTTTTAATGTTTGTCTTAATGCTTATTTAATGCGCTTCATGCAGATACAAGTATTGAGTCTTATTTCTGTGATATATCATGACGCCTTTGATGTTTTTTGTATTTTGAAAACTTTTCAATAAAAATCATTGGAAAATAAAAGTGTGTACCACTCAGTACAGCATCCAGCAGCAAATTGAAGCTAGTCATAAACTTAGGCAGGATGCAGGCAGAAGACTGGACCCTGCACATGTGCCTCTCTGGTGCATGAAAATGCTAGGTTTTGATGCACAGGGGTTAAATTGACAGTTTACTTGTTGCCTAAATGCCTATAAATGATAAATAATAATAATGCATGACATGCTTAGCGCCTTGTAGCACACGTACATCAGTCATCATAAGTACACCCTTTGATTGCTGAGCTCAGTGGTGGAATGGACCCAGCTATAAGCACACTTTACATCCATTGCCCCTCTTCTCAGCCACTGTGACCAGTGAGGAAGTACACAAGATTGGAGATTGATGGGAGCTGGAGAGATGCTAGGTCTCACCTGTCCTTGTGTGAAGGTTTTACAGGTACCACCCCCCTATCGGAACAATGAAGAAAATAAACCCTAGTAGGAGAAAAATAATGGGGCATTTAAAGGTACCATACCATTATAGGTATAAAGATGCAAAATCATAAACAATATTGGATAAAATAGAGCATATTTTATTATGACATTATAAAAAAAAAACACAGAGTGGTAAGCAAGACAAACACCAATGTAGGCACATACATAATGAGTCAACAAAAATATAAAGAAATAATAATGGGCAAAGACTCTGTGAGAACGTCACGGGCAAGAATCCTAAAACCCTATTGATACCATCAAAAGAACTGATCATCATCAAACTGGTGAAATGATTACAGACATGAAAGGTATGAAAAATGTTGGTAATTAGTGGGAATATCTAAATTCATAGAGACTACTCAAATGATAAATCATTGGGTGTCATTTGAGAAGGGTGGCAATTCCACTAGAAACCAAAAATGCTTTTCCATAAAATTGAATCCAAAACTGAGGAAGTACACAATGGAAGGAGGGTTTCCACCCCATTTCTGGGTAGGGGGAAATACAGCTGCAGCTGTTGATCCCCGGGTCTTGGCCGGATATTCCTCACCAGCACCCGGTGATCAGCGAGGAACACTTGTATGTAAACAACACAGATCTCTCCCCTGTCAGCACCAGCATGGTGCTTTGTATTGCTCTTACATAGTAAAACACACACAGACAACACAGTAAAACAGCACACAGTTAACCCTTTGATCGTCCCAGCTGTTAACCCCTTCCTGCCCACTGTCATTAGTACAGTGTCAGTGCTTTTTATTAGCACTGATCACTGTATTAGTGTCACTGGGGATTTCAGTGCCAGTTAGTTCCCCCCCCAGTGTCAGAATGCCCACCACAGTCCTGCTATAAGTCGGTGATCACTACCATTACTAGTATTAAAAAAAATTAAAAATCCAGTATATATACCACCATTTGTAAACGCTATGACTTTCACGTAAACCAATTAATTTACACGTATTGGGATTTTTTTTTTTAGCAAAGACGTAGCAGAATACATTTTGGTCTAAATTTATGATGAAATTAGATTTTTTAAACTTTTTTACTGGATATGTTTTTATAGCAAAAAGTCAAAAATATAGTTTTTTTATAAATTGTTGGTCTTTTTTTGTTTATAGCGCAAAAAATTAAAAATGCACACATGATCAAATACCACCAAAAGAATGCTCCATTTATGGGAAAAAGGACGTAAATCTCATTTGGGTGCGGCATTGCATGACCACGCAATTGTCAGTTAAAGTAACGCAGCGCCATATCGCAAAAAATGGCCTGGTCAGGAGGGGGGGGGGGGGGTAACTCCTCTGGAGGGTAGAACCAAACACATATTAATAACACAAGCCCTGTGGCTGATTAAGGTGGCAATTAAGTTCACCTAGTGCTTTATCTGCATTAAATTGGCCTCAGTACCTGTGCAAATAACGTGTTCGCTTCTAAAGGGATAAGGTGACAACCCTAAATTGACGCCCAGCACTGAACGTCTCTTTTAGACAAGCTTTATTGGTCTGGACAATATACACCTTGTCAGTCCTCTACACACGTCTGATATACCCATGAACAGCACAGCTCGGTGTCATTAGTAAACAGATTATAACTCTCTCGCCATGACACCGTGCTAAACGCAAGACCATATATATCATTGCACATGCGCGGATTCTAGTTCCATTTTTTTTTTCTGCTTCCTGTTCCAAGCTGCTCGTGAAGTGTGGACGCGTGGTGCGCATGTGTGGTGTCCTGGCCGGGAAGGAACTCTCGCTTGTCCCCTTAATCCAGAGCTCCCCCCCACCTCCCTTCTGGTCTGTCTGTGACGCCGGGTTCCATGTCCCCGGGTACGAGCTCGGGCACGGAACACTGTCCGGCCGGGGATGGTAAACAACAGAGTGCATCGGCTGCTGACTGCAATCAATAGGAGGATGATGAAGCTGCTCATTGCACTCGCCTTGATCGCCTATGTTGCCTGTGAGTGCCCATTCATTTCTGCCATGGATGTGTGGGGTGGGTAGAGGGGGTGCTGTGTGGGGTCAGGACTGTGTGAGGGGGCTGTACTGGGTGAAGGGTGCTGTGTGTGCTCCTCTCAATGGCACAGGACAGCTATGAGGTGCAGTGTTCCTCCAGGCTGGGTGCCCTTAGCCCCCAGTCATGCCAGGTTCAGTGGTGAGGAGATGTGTGGCCCAGGCCCATCCATAGCACCCAGCTATACAGACAGAAGAGTGTGATCCCAGCTCCCCTCGCAGTGCACATGACGTCCCAGGCCGAGTACAAAGCACCCCTTTTCTTCTCCCTCAGCTCATTAGAGAGCGGGATGTGCCAAGCTGGAAGTTTTCGAAGTCTCGGCCACTCTCAACAGGCTGCCTGAATTAGCAGCACTTGGCTGTCTCCAGGAGTTCCTGGTTTTCTGCACATTGTGGATGCTGCTCTCCAACCATGGTGTACTAGCATGGACCACTTTTATTATACAGACTTGTGTAGATTTTAAGGCATTTTCCTCTTTTTATATCTACGAGATGCTGCACTACATAGATTACTTAAAGAAGACCTCCTCCCCTTGCAAGTAAATGGCAGTAATATAGAGTACATTGCCTATAAACAGGTACATTTTCTTGTGTCCTTGCTGCGTTTACTTCTTTCAGACCCCTTTTTAAAGCCTTTGTAAACACCGCCTAAACCTAAAGTTAAGCTTCCAATAAAGCTTACCTGTAGGTACAAGGAATATCCCCTAAATGTGCACTGTTTAGGAGTGACCTCTCCATGGCCTTCGACACAGTCGACCACCCCCTCCTCCTTGAAAAACGACACTCCCTCGGCATCAGAGACTCCGCTCTCTCCTGGCTCTCCTCCTATCTCTCCCAACGCTCCTTCAGCGTTACCTATAACGCTACCACCTCCCCCTCTCTGTCGGGGTCCCCCAAGGCTCTGTCCTTGGGCCCCTTCTCTTCTCCATCTACACCTCCTCCCTTGGCAAACTGATAAACTCCCACGGCTTCAGCTATCACCTCTACGCCGATGACACGCAAATTTACCTCTCCACCCCTCAACTTACCCCTTCAGTCTTCACCCGTATCACCCACCTGCTGAACGTCATTTCAGACTGGATGTCGCTCCACTTCCTCAACTGAACCTTTCTAAAACCGAGCTCCTAATTTTCCCCCCAGCCCGCGCGCCCCCCCCTTCCTCTCCATCACGACCAACAACGCCACCATCAGTCCCACCCCGCAAGCCAAAGTCCCAGGTGTCACTCTAGATTCAAACCTGTCCTTCCAACCCCATGTCCAATCGCTAGCAAGCTCATGCAGGCTCCACCTCCATAACATCTCCAAAATATGTACATTCCTAACCCCAGACACTACTAAACAACTCGTTCACTCCCTTATCTCATGCCTGGACTACTGCAACTCCCTTCTCACCGGCCTACCTCATCACAAACTATCCCCGCTTCAGTTAATCTTGAACTCAGCGGCCAGACTCCTCCACCTTACCAACCACTCTTCTTCTGCCACCCCCCTCTGTTATCCCCTCCACTGGCTCCCAATTGCCCAACACATCAAATTCAAACTACTAACACTGACATACAAAGTCATTCATAACGCTGCCCCAAACTACCTCACTGACCTGATACCCAAATACCACCCAACCCGTAATCTTCTCTCCTCACAAGACCTCCTACTTTCTAGCTCCCTGGTCTCTTCCTCCCACGCCCGATTGCAGGACTTCTCCAGGACTTCCCCCATCCTCTGGAACTCACTACCCCAATCCATCAGACTGCCACCTACCCTCCTCACCTTTAGGCGCACCCTGAAAACCCATCTCTTCAGGGAAGCCTACACCACCCTCACCTAACTGCCGATCTCCTCCACTCCTCCTACCACTCCATCCCCCACAGCCACTTCCTCCTGTACCACTGTCCCCTTCCTCCTAGATTGTAAGCTCGAAAGAGCAGGGCCCTCGAACCCCTCGTGTTTTTTTTTTTGTTACTGTACTGTCTCATGTACTATCCCCCACTATAATGTAAAGCGCTGAGAAAACCTTTTGTCGCTATATAAATACTGTATAATAATCAGTGTTTCTGCAGCTGGCGACATCACTGGTGCATGTGCTGTGAGGGGGGACAGCATACCCATGCCATCCCTTGAGAGCTCTGTGCGTGATGAGTGACTTCATCGCGGCTCAGCCATTCAAACAGCCGGAGCCTGTGAACCCAGAACCTGTCAGCAGTGACAGCATGACACTGGAGGGTACTTTTTAAAGAGAAACTCTGGTCTCCCCCAGAGAAATTAAAAATCAGAAGCTACAAATACTGTAGCTTCTGACCTTTTAATATAAGGATACTTACCTGTCCAGGGATCCAGCACTGCTCTCAACCGAACCGATTCTTCAATCGACTTCAAGTTCAGGTGACAGCATCTTAAGAAGGGAATACTGGCAGTGAAGTCTTGCAGCTTCACAGCTGGTTCCCATTACTCAATCACAAGCCACACTGCACTTTGTGAATGGTCCCGCAGTCTTCTGGGACCTGTGATGTGTCCCAGAAGGCTGCAGGGAGGGGATGGTCAAACTGCTGCTCAGATCACTGGGCACCTAAAAAGTGTTAACAGTGGAACATGAAGGGGGGAGGATCTAAAGAAGCGGAACTTCCCCTTTTGGGTGACGTTTTGCTTCAAGGTAAGTGTTTCATAATGTGCTAGCTAGTACACATCGCATACTAGGACATTATGATACTGCCTTTCAAGTGGAAATTTTTTGGTGAACGTTTACTATTGCTTTAAGCTGTCTATACATTTTGAAGAGTGTCATCTTGCACTTATGAGAAATGGAGTGCGCGCGCCTCTTCTTGTGCATACAAAATTACACTCATCTGTTTAAAAAAAAAAAAAAAAAAAAAAGCCTTTGTCCAATATTTCGTGAAGTTTAAGGCCCCCTTCACACTAACGGTCCGATTGGGTCCGCCTGTCAGTTTTATATAGACGAATCCAATCAGGCCATCCATAATTTTTTATGGAGTGGCGGCATCTGATCCTGTATCCTAAAAACGTACTGTGATCAGTTTCCCATCCATCCAGCGGATCGGTTGACAGCGGTTGACAGGCGGTCCGTTTCCATTGGACTGCGCCATAGAAAACAGCGGCTATGTCCACTCTGCATAGTGGAGCAGACACGAACTTGTCATCCCCCTGCTCAGTGGAGGGATCCCCTGCTGAGCACGTGGATCCGCTTGATGAAGTCCGCACCATCTGAAAGGGGCCTAAGGCTTTATTCACACTGGACTTTTTTACTCCTAGACACCATTCCTCGTGCCAGTGGTGTTTTGGCAGAGTAAACCCATGTAATGTGTTTAGGCGTTTCAAGAACTTTTGTATTAATTCGTTCTGTTGCCAGAATAACATTTTGTTTCTGGCCATTGAAATTTAAAGCATAAGTTCACTTTTTTATTAAAAATAATAATGCACAAATTTGTGCAGAAAAAATGTGCTTTTATTATTTTTTTTCATGCAGGAGCCCGGAAAGCATAGCATCCGTGATCAGGGGTGCAATGTCTGGCGGCTTCTGCAGACAAGCCCTGCAGCTTTCAGCCTGTACTTGCATACGGCCTGTCAGTTTGAAAGCTGTAGGGCTTGTGAATGAACTAAGAGCACTCATCATTCAGAACTACAATGAATGAACTACATGAGAGTTGTTGTTCATTCATTTACTGGAAACTGTGAATGAATGATGTGTGGGTGGACAGTTATTTGTGACAGTGGGTAAACTGAGAAGATCCCCCACCTGCTGTCACAGGGTGATATTGGGCGAACTGGCAGGAGCTGGGACATATTCCACCCTAAATATGGGTAGAGCATGTAACATGTTCCAAAAAGGTGAACTTATCCTTTAATGCTCAAGCACTAAACATGTCTAGCACTTAGGCTCGTTTTGAAGAGTTTACACATGATTGCAGGCGTCAAGCAATTTTTGGTGGTGGACGCACTGGTAGTGGGTTTTTTTTTTTCTACTTCTAAATTCTAAATGCCTTTGTGTGCATGGACATACAGACTAACATGCAGGGGTGTTTAGAGGCAGAAACAAAAAAAAAATGCCCCTTAGAGTATTGTTAAATATATTCAATGCGCATGAGGCCTAATGCTGTCTGATGTCATGCATGTCATCCCTCCCATGCACAGTATTAGAATATTGCAAAATTCTCAGCTTTGGTACAGGATCTCCCTGAAGGCAGTAGTAACTTGCCTTTCTAGGGGCATCTGTGTACCTGGGGCTACATCACTAGTGGCTTCAGGGGAACCAGGATGTGGATGGCAAATGGGTAAGTACATTTTTTCTCCAGATAATTATCCTTTGCAGTGGGGCTCTGCCCCCAACACCATGGTTGATTGCTCATTTTATCTAGGGGAGAGGAGAAACACTTTTGCTTGCCTGATCCTCCACTGCCCTGGTAGACTGTGCTCCCCCATGCTTTAGCAGTGGTCTGTCCCTCAGCATCAACATGCCACTGAGAACCTGAGCCATCCTCTTCTACCCCCTACACTGCTCAGCACTCCAGTGAGCGCTGGATGGGCAGAACAGAGAGCTGGAGAATGACAGTCATCACTCTGCTCAGAACGATCTGCGTTGTTTGACCACTCAGTTCTCACTGCAGAGCCAGCGGGGGACAGATGCAGCATCGGATTAAAACTGCATCCACCTATGTGAGTATAAATATTTTTTTCAAAAGCCTTTAATTCCCTTTTTAATTTTTTACTGTTCTCGTGAAAGTCTTCACTAATCCCCATAATGTTTGTAATGTGTGTGAAATGTCAGTTTCTACTTTCGCTGGGCAAATGTAACATTCTATCCTAAGAGAAGAACATTAAACCAGAGGAGTTAAAGGACATTTGACCAATAGAGAAAATAGGCTAAGAACATTTGACTGGAAGAGGAAATATGAGGGACTATTCTGCACTGTGTACAAAAGTGTATGGAGATTCTTGTGCTTGCCATTGATAGTGTAATGAATAAGATACTGTTGAGAGTGAACTGCTATATACAATGTTGCAGAGACAGAATTCTGTTGTTTACCTTAGGTGATCTGTAAAGGATTTCAGGCCGCATTTACTGTGCTTCTGTCTGCAATTCTCAAATTGCACTGCAATAGTGGCAAAATTCACCATGCGTGTTTGGGTGCCAGTCATTCTTAATGGCACCTCAAGCGCAGTGAGATTTTGCCACGTGACAGAATCAAGCTGCAATCATAGCAAAGCTTGTCACCAAAAAAAGAGCAGGAGCATCTTTTGGGGCGACAGCTTTGTGTGATGTTTTGCTGCAATTGCAGTGTGATTCTGTCACCCAGCATTCGTGACAGAATTTCACTACGTTTGAGGTGTCATTGAGAATGAATGACAGCCAGACACACGTGGTGCATTTTGCCATGATTGCAGTGTGATTTGGAATTGCGGGCAGAATCACTGTGATTCTGCCCGCAATTCAAAATTGCAAAGTTTGAGGCCCCTTTCGGATGGGTCAGATCCATTTGCTCAGTGGGGGATCTCTCCGCTGAGCAAGCAGATGACAGGTCTGTGTCTGCTCCACTGCTGCAGAGCAGACACAGCCTGCTTTTCCCTATGGGGTGGTTGGAATGAAACGGACCACCTGTCCATTACCACCCAACTGTTATCCGATCCAATCCACCAGATGGATGAGGAACAGACTCCCATCCGTCTGTTTTTTTTGGCGTATCGTATTGGATGGCGGAGGGTGTCAGCGGGTACTTGTCTGCTTACACCTGGCGGTCCATAAGGGTCTATGGATGGTCTGATCTGGTCCACTGGATAAACTAACAGGTGGACCCGATCAGACTGTCGGTGTGAAAGGGGCCTTAATGCGGCTTCAGTGTCAACAATGGAGTTGATCTCTGCAACATTGGATCAATTCTGTATAGTAGTTTACTCTCCACTGTAGCTGATTCATTATACTTAACATGATACTAAACTCTGGTTAAAAATAAGTATATATTCTTTTTAAGTTAGTATTCTTAAAGAGTGTGTGAGCCCAACATTTTATATTCCTGATATGTGCCTGCTGTACTATGTACTTGTATGAAAAAGTATCCTATTCTTTGTATTGCTTCTTTTGTGTGAAATTCCTGGTGTTCCTGCCAGTCCCTCTGCTTTTCTATTAACTGACCACACTAAGCAGGAGTACACACTATGCTGGGAACTCAGTCTGCTCTCCTCTAATGATCAGACTTCTCCTGCCCCCCCCCCCCCCCCCCAGAAGCTCAACACAAGCCTGTTTTCTATGTGTCCTGCTAACACCATAATGTTGCTTTGAGCTGCATTGCACCAAAGTGCAGCATGTCTACATTTTTGTGCAGTATAATGCACCTCACCGCATGTCACCACAACGCTCTGCAGTGCAGAATGAAATAAGGTATCATCTTGTGGCACTTCAAGAAAGTAAAAAAAAAAAGTAAACCATGTGATGTATTGGAACAACACATTGTACCACCCCTACACAGTGCACACCAGCTGTTTGGTGCTTCTGTTTCCTCCTGGGGGTGGTGTATGTTCTGGGCTCCTGTGTTCTTGTAGAGCTCCTGCTGGCCTGTTTTTTTTGCCTTTTTGGCCTTGGTTTCTCCCACCCCTTACTTGTTTGGCACTGTTTTGGGATGTCCCTATGGTCAAGCATATAAGACACTGTGTCCATCAATGAACGAAAGAGAAAACAGGAATTTTTTGTTACCGTAAAATCCCTCTCTCTGAGTTCATTGATGAACACAGCACCCACCCCTCTATGGCTTTTAATTTGGGCACTGCTTGTGACTAACTGGATTGCCTATGCAGTGATGGTTTATATCAGCCAGGACTGCCCATAGGCGGTGCCTTGTTTCTTTTTTTTCTGCCTAGTGTTCTGCTCCTGTAGGTGGCAATATAACCCTACGATCAAGAATAAAAGACACTGTGTCCGTCGAACTCCAAGAAAGGGATTTTATGGTGAGTAAAAACAAATCCTGTTTTTAGAAATGTCAATTTTTTAAAAAGAAAAACTGAAAATTCACATGTACTTATGTATTCAGACCCTTTACTCAGTACTTTGTTGAAGCGCGTTTGGCAGCAATTACAGCCTTGAGTCTTTTTGGGTATGATGCAACAAACTTTGCACACCTGGATTGGGGGGGGGGGGGGGGTAGAGCATTAAAGGGGGCCCATCGGTGGACAGATGTGTTCACGTCTTTCCAGAGATGTTCAATAGGGTTCAAGTCAGGACTCTGACTGGGCCACTCTAGGACATTTACAGAGTTGTTCCTAAACCATTCCTGTGTTGCCTTGGCTCTATGCTTAAGATCGTTGTCACGTTGGAAGGTGAACCTTCGACCCAGTCTGAGGTCCTGAGTGCTGTGTTACAGGTTCTCATTGAAGATATTCCTGTACTTTTGCTCCATTCAGCTTCTCCTCAACCCTGACCAATCTCCCCAGTCCCTGCTGCTGAAAAAAATCCCACAGTATGATACTGCCATCACCATGCTTCACTGTTGAGATGAAATTGGGCAGATGTTGAGCGGTGCCTGGCTCCTCCAGACATAACATTTAGAATTGAGGCCAAACTGTTAAATCTTGTTCCTCACAGTCGGTCCTGAGAAGATGCTTCCGTCTATTCACTCTGTCATGGTTGTCTTTCTGGAGCTTTGTCCCATCGCCACACAGGATCTGTGGATCTCAGTCAAAGTGACCATCAGATTTCTGATCTCCTCTCTTACTAAGGCCCTTCTCCCCCAATTGTTCAGTTTGGCAAGGTGTACCCTTTCCCAGATCTTTGACTTGCAATAATCCTGTCTCTGAGCTTTGCAGGCAGTCCTTGTGACCTCATGGCTTTTGCTCTGATACAGTATGCATTGTCAGCTGTGAGGCCTTTTATAGAGAGGTGTGTGCCTTTCTAAATCATGTCTGATTAATTTATTTACTACAGGCGGACTCCAGTCAAGGTGTAGAAACATCTCAGCAACGAACAAGAGAAATGGGAAGCACCTGAACTAAATTTCAAGTGCTGTTGCAAAAGGTCTGAATACATGTGATGTTTCAGGTTGTTTCCTTTTTAATAACGTCAGACATTTCTAAAATTCTGTTTTTACTTTGTCAGTACTTTGAGAATACTTTATGAATGCCCTGTATATATTTTTTTGTTTTTAAAACCATCCACCCTTTGCATGTGAAAAATGTCTCTAGAAATATACATGAGAAATGAAGGATGGGAATTGGTAGCTTGTAATGTATCATTGTGTTATGGGTTTTCCGTAACAGGTGGTCATCTACTGCCCATAGTATTACTCTGCACAGCACTTGAGACATTAAGATCTCATATATTTTTGTTCTTTTTTTTTTTTTTTTTTCCAGCTGTTTGGGGAAACTTTGTCAACATGAGGTAAGAATAGTAAAACAATTTTAGATTTTGTGTAAACTGCTGGCAGAAAGCTTTATATCCAATTTATTCTAAAAAAATAAAAGGAACATTGTCACAGTTTTAAAACTAGAAAGGATTTCCCTGAAGTGGAGAAGTGGCATACTTATTTCTCCCGCTGCCCACATCACTTTTTTTTTTTTTTTTTTGCTTTCTCTAAGAGCTACAGTGCAAAGAGAATCCTCTTTATCTGACCTTCAGTGATGCCCTGGTCCTCTGCCGGATGATTTAGCTACTTCCACCAGCTGCTGTGTCCTAAAGTGATGTCCTGGTACACTGGAGAGTGCTGGAGTCTTTCAACCAGCCACTATTCTGTCCTTAAATGAAGTTCTGGTCCCCTGTTGAGTGCCATAGTTCTTTCCACCACCGCTGTCAATGCTGTGTCCTGCAATGATCTCCTGGGCCCCTGCCAAGTTCACACAAGTGTTTTGGATGAAGTAGATTCTCTGGGCACCATAGCTCTTGTGGCAGGGTCACTCTGAGGCATCTTTCATTCACTGACTAGTACTTCTGAATTCTAATAGATGGTAGTTGTGACTTGTTTACTGGATATTGTTTTGTTTTCTGCTGCAGTACTAGGCATTTTGTTTTCAAAAACCTGTGCTAAAATTACTTGAAACCCCAGGCAAATGGCTGAACACCTAGTTAAAGGATACGTTCACCTTTCATAACATGTTACACCCATATTCAGGGTGTAACATTTTATGAAAGCACCGGCCCCCGCTCCTCGGTGATCCCATGCTTTGACAGCTAGTGGGGGATCCACAACTCGCCCCCCACTAACTGTCAGGCTTAAAAAAAAAAAAAAAAAAAAAAGCCCGTGCGGGGATCCGGCTGCGTCACTGCTCTGCCGGATTGTAGTCCTCAATGGACTACCACGGCTCTGAGGAGGGTGTAACATGAAACACGTTTAGCATGCACAGCCCCTTGCCCTCAGACCACCCCACCCCTTACAGTATCATTTATTCACTAGAATCTGAATGGGGAGAAAAAAAAGCTGCCACTGCAGTAGAGACTGTAGTTCTCAATAGACAAATTCTATGATGTCACTGATAACATTTCCTTCAATTCTGTAACCCAAGGCTGCAGTTGCAGTGCTTTCTAAGCTCCTATACAAAAAATTATTCCAATTACTATTTAATATAGGTGCATTTATTATTCCTTCAAATGGTGGACTTGGCCTTTTTAATCTTTCTGGTTCAGCAATTTGGCTTCCCGTTTCACCTCTTCACCTCCATCTTTCTCAGTAGACAGCAAATCGGCATTATCGCCTCTGTCCAGTTAGGAGGGAACAGACCCAGTAAGTAATTGTAAACGGCAGAGTAGGAGAGTGATCTTATGAGGCACACATCTGCTGTAAGATGTCGCCTATCCGTGACACCTCATTAGTGCTCTCTATCAGTGCCGCCTATCCGTGCCACCTCATTAGTACTGCCTATCAGTGCCCTTTAGTGCTGCCTATCAGTGCCCATCAATGCTGCCTCATCAACGCACATCAGTGAAGGAGAAAAATTACCTGTTTGAAAAATTTTATAATAGAAACAAATAAACTTTTTTTTTTTTTCACATTTTTGGCAATTTTTTATTTATAGCGCAAAAAGTAAAGCGCCCAGTGGTGATTAAATACCACCAAAAGAGAGCTCTATTTGTGAGAAAAAAATGATCAAAATTTCATATTGGTACAATGTTGCATGACCGCGCAATTGTCAGTCAAAGTGCTGCAGCGCTGAAAGCTGAAAATTGGCCTGGTAAATAAGGGGGTATAAGTGCCTGGTAGGCAAGTGGTTAAACAGCTAGAGCAACAGCTATCTATTTGTGCAGGATGGATGAAGGATGACAGACAATGTAACATTAGACCTGAGGGGAAATTTTGTTAAGTTGTGCAATTAATTTAGAGTAAGTCACCACAACTAGTAAATTCTAAGACATGGGGACAAGCCAAAACAGAGAAATGAAAGTCCAATTGTATAGAAATAATATAATTCTTGGCCCTGGCCCAAACAGAATACTATATATGTGGTCAGAGAAGGAAAATGGGATGAACACTATGGCTGCCCATCTGATCATAAGAGCTGGAGTAAGTTGAGTGCAGGATTACAGTACATGGGATGAAAGGATATCGGAGAACAAAATAAGGAAAGCAGAGTTTAGAGAGGTAAAACTAACTTAAGCAGGGACATTTTGAAGAGTGTTAAAAGAAAGTGAGAGAATATGCATGTGTGGGGAAAAATGTAAGCGATTTAGAGAGAATCGTGTGTGTGAATGGGTGTGCTGGGCCTTTTGGTCCTACAATCCTTTGTCTTGTAGCTCTGTGTAGATTTCCCTCCTCCCTCTTTCTCTTTCCCATGAGAAGATTGTTCTGGGATGAGACAGGACACCAATGACACCCATGATATTATTATACAGGATTTATATAGCGCCAACAGTTTGCTCAGCGCTTTACAATATAACAGGAGACAATACATCAACAATACAGTTCAATACAAGAGGGCTAGGAGGGCCCTGCTCCTTGGAGCTTACAATCTGGGAGGGAGGGGCTAGTGGTACAAAAGGTAGTAACTGTGGGGGATGGACTGGTTGGAAGAGTAGAAATGACTAAGAGTTTTCACAACATTATGTGTGGCTTCATTAACCACTTGCGTACCGGACACTTATACCTCCTTCCTGCCAAATTTTCAGCTTTCAGCACTGTCGCATTTTGAATGATAATTGTGCGGTCATGCAACACTGTACCCATATGAAATTCTTTTTTTCTTGTTTTATTTTACAGCACTTACCGTCCACAATGTAGTGGAAAAAACAGTAACTAAGGGGATGTCAGGAACTAGGAAAAAAAAAAAACCAAACAAAAAAAATAAATACATTTTATTTATATATATATATATATATATATATATATATATATATATATATATATATATATATATATATATATATATTTTTATTTTTTTTTTTTATTTTTTTTTTTTTTATGGTTGGAGACACAATACAGCTTCTATTTCATGTACAGTTTACAAAACTTGACGGAAAGGTCACCTGGATCCACACCAGACACTACAAAAATTATTATATGAAAGTAATTTGGTTTCCTCTTGGAATCATAGTCCGGGGTACTATTTATTCGAATGCTTTAAAAAATATATTGGTAAGGGATATATGTATATTTAGTATGGTTTGAAAAATAGGTCAGCCATGTTGAAGTCATATTGTCTTTTTATATGTCTTCCATTCTATGTAGAATTGTCTGTGTTTTAACTATGCTGATAAGCCAGTATGTCCACAATTAAGCTACAAGGCCATTCTGGCCACAGGATCTGAGTGTACAGCCAATTACTCTGTAAATATTTCTTTATTAATCATTTGGTTTTTTTTTATGTGAGTTTTAGTCCCAATAAAAGGTCATTTTGTAATATACAGTAGCTGCTCTCAGCTGTTAGATTCTCCCTAGTGGAGTTTCCCTCCTGGGCTAGGACAGCTCTGCCTAAATGTAAGGAGGGTACAGGTCATAGTAGGTGTGGTCTGTGATCAACATATAAATTATTGATCAAAAAAGGGGAGATTGTAAAAGAAATTCTGTATAAAATTGTATTTTATTTTGTATGCTTTGCCTATGCATTGTACACTGCACTCCTTGTGCACACAGCACTAATGTTTTCATTACACGTTTGCCTTCTTTCAAGTCCTGATCAGAACTTGGCCCGCCTATGTAACGCCCCTTGTTATTAGGGATGCACTGAAATTTCGTTGGCCGAAACGTTTCTGCTGAAAAGCCCCTTTCAGCCATTGGCTGAAATGAAAAAAAAAAACCACCAATACAGGTGCTGAAAAAAAACCTCGCCGCCACCAGCCGCCACTCGGTAGTTCTCAGCTTTACCTCGATCCCAGCGCTCTTGTTAATTTTGAACCACTAATCAATATGAGATTAGGAGTTGCCTATCTATAAAATGTTCAGTATTAATGTCCAGAACATTGATTACTAGAGGTGCGAAGGTTCTCATTTATCCAGGTCATGTTATAACTTATACCAGTCACATTCAACTGGACTTGTTTAATATTTTTAAAATTATTTCAACATTACAAAAGTCGAGTTGATAGTGGGTAACTACTATTAGCTGTACCATGGCCTGGATAAGGGAAAACCTTCACATACACCTATAGTTAGGAAGATCACTCTCCTACTTTTTTTTACCATATATAACTTATAAATCGAGAAGCCCTATTCTGCCACCATCTAACAACTAAACTTTATTTTCTCCAAGTTATCCCTTGGTTATCTTTTTGTAGGGTACTTCACTCTCCCCACCCCCCCCCCTTCAGATTGTAAGCGCTAACAAGCAGGGCCCTCTGATTCCTCTTGTATTAAATTGTATTGTAACTGTACTGTCTGCCCACATTTTTTAAAGGAGCTGGGCAAAATGCTGGTGCTATATAATATTAATGCAGAGTTGGCTCCCTCCTTACTGGATGGAGGTGATCGTTCTGATTTACTATCTGCTAGAGAAGATGGAAGTGAAGAGGTGACATAGGAAACCAAATAGCTAAACCAGGAAGGTTAAAGCCTGAGTTCACCTTTTGCAACGCAATAAATAAACAAATGCACGAATATTAATTTACTGCAGCAAACCAGAACTCTAGTAAGTCATACTGTCTGGCATGGCTGAAAATATAATTATGATGACTCTACAAGTAATGTATCTCAGGAACATTAACTTGTTGTTAACTTAACGTCTTTTCCAGAGATTACAAAAGGATATAGCCAGATACCCAAGTCAGGATCTTTCAAATATGCACTGGTCTGTATGGACATGTTTTCTGAACAGCCAAAAGTTTGGCCCGTGGCAATAAAAAATAAAAAAAATAAATAAAGGTTTACTTGGAATTCTGCTTTAATTTAGTCGGGAAGTGTCCCAAGTCATACTAGAACTTTCAAGTAGCAGAAATATAACATGTTTATTTTGAATGTGAGACTTATTTACGTATGGTCATCCCTCCATATCGGCATTCTTATTCTCAGCAGGTCACTCCAAGATAATGGAGAGCAGAAAATGGACAAGAAAATAGAAGAGGTTCGTTATCACTTTTTTCTCTTTTTTTTTTTTTTTCTCTTTTTTTTTTTTTTTTTTTTTTTTTTTTTTTGCTGGCTGGTTAAAATCCAGTAATACATTGTCTCACCTTGCTCTGCATATGCTCTGTTGCTCTCTATTTTGTGGCACTGTGCTTAAAGTGGTTGTAAAGGCTCAAGGTTTGTTTTACCTTCGCTGTGCAGCATCCCCTAATAACTAAGCCCCCTCTCGATCCAGTGATGTGCGCTGGAGTCTCAGCTATCCCGGGTCTCCCTCTCCTCATTGGCTGAGAGAGCAGCATTAGCCATTTGCTCCCACTGCTGTCAATCACAGCTAGTGAGCCAAATAGAAGAGAGAGGGGACACATGGAGCAGCAGCTAGGGAGTGCGCATGCTTTGGTGCCCTGCATAGTAAGCTGTTTGCTGTGGGGGCACCCGAGAGGAGAGAGGGGGCCAGGAGCACAGGCAGGGGACCCAAAAAGAGGAGGATTGGGGCTGCTCTGTACAAAACCATTGCACACAGAAGGTAAGCATAGACATGTTTGTTATATTTTTTTCAAAACAAATGTAGGAATCTTAAGAAGACTTTAGAATCACTTTAAAATCAGAGCCACTAGAGGCCAGTCTGCTGACAGACTAAAGATTTATTGCTGCTCTGGGCTTCAGCAAAATGGTAGCCTCCAGCAAATAGAATCCAGAACAATGGTGAAGGCAATTTACAGCACACACTGATTTTGATAGTATAATTAATGTGGAGTGTATGTTCCCTGCTAAAGGGCATTATGTTTTTAGCAAGTTGCTACTCGGCAATGTACAATCACTGCTGAATGGAAAAACTTGCGCCTGCATAAAAAAAAAAACTATGTATTTATGTTTAGCTGCATACTACATCAAGGGACTTGACAAATAGACCACCTTATCACAAAGATCAGTTATTCTTGTTCATTTACTTTAGCAGTTATCATGTTCCGTCAAAAGGGTATTTTGAACAGGAAGTAATGTGCAATTGTATATTAAAAGCTGCTGTTTGTAACTTTTTTTAATTTTTTTTAATATATATTTCCAGTGAGAAAATCAATATCTGCTACAAAGGAAATCCAATTGTGAGATTCCAAGTGGAAGCTACCATTTACTAAATTCCTGTCCATATTTTAATCCTGAACAGTAAAGCTGACCCTGTAAAGGATCTCTACCTCAACTCAGATGCAGGCCAAGAGTCAGGAATGACAGCTTCTATCTCAGATATCCTATAGAAATATTTAGCCGATTCCCTTTAACATACCCATGCACAAAGGTTTTTTGATTCTTCCACAGAAGACAATGGGACCCTTGAAGATGCTGTTTTTTCACCTGACATGCACATACACAGTCAGATTGTTGTATGATTGTACCAGAGTCCTAGAGAATGAGTCTGTATATGGGCATATTGTATATACTATACTGTCACTGAATATAGTAAAATCTGTGTTAAAGCCAACAGACTAAATTCTGAAAAATAATTGTATTCTCTCTCCCGTACAGGTGATTGCACCTTTAAGAGAAAAGATAAGGGATTTAGAAAAAAGGTAAGTGCTGTCGTGTGAAACTGCTTCATCCTGAAATGTTATCTTAGTAATGGTGCTGATATCAGAGATCAGTAGCGGGCATTGGTAGCGCAGGCACCTGTGGAGAAAAAAGGCTAGGGAACTTCTGCCTGCTTATGTGCTCATAGTGGCAATGTATTTTTGACCCCTGTTTTTCTTCACCTTCACAGGTCACATAGACTCCATGCATGGGGTAACAAAAATCATATCAATTTGTTATTTCAGTCAAGATCCTAGGTAAACTAGCAGCAGTAGGTCAGGGAGATATTGGGGCATGTAAGTAGATCATCGAAAAATGTTTAAAAATCCATTGAGAGAGTTGTGCTGCAACTGTAACTTCCATGCACATGCAAGAAGTGGCGTCCTTGCTGGCTAGCCATTTAAACTGCTGGAGAGCGCAAACCTGGAACAAAGACAGGGTGAAGATGTAAGCACTGACGGCAGTGACAGTGCACCATTTAAGGGCTTCGCTTTATGGCAAGTCTTTCTTAATGTGCTATTATGCAGTGCATACTAATACATTATGACTTAAACCACCCGGGGGTCCAATATTTATTTATTTTTTTGGGTTGAACTTTGCTACTGCTTTAAGGTAATGGGGAGGGTGGTGTTCAGTAACTTCTAACAATCTTTCTGGCCTAGGGTAACATTGCTGTTCCTCTAGATAAAATACTGTGAGTAATCATTGTCACTGAAGGACAGTAAGTGTTAATGTCAGCTGTCAGGATTACAAGATCATAGTGGGTGGGGGGTGGAAAATGAATTATGATATATGTAACCTGGACATAGCCATATTTATGAAAACACCCCAAGCTGTAAAATAAAATCATTCTACATTTAATAAAGGTAGATGTAGCATTTTGCATCTTGATTTCTATATTAGTACATTTCTGGTCATTGGGAAGGAATTGCCCCCTTACAGGTAGCTAAAAAAGATCATTGGTGTCAGTCGTTCCTTATTTGAGAAGCAAAAGTTGCTCATTCCTTAAGGAACCCTTACCAACCTCAGAAGGAGCCCTAGGTAACCACAAAACCCTGTCCGAGAGAGTGTGATTTAGATGCATGGATATTTGTCAAATCAAATATTTAAAGACAGATCAATAGCTTATAAAATAAAGTAAGTAATTTGTACCCAATATCAGCACCACTTTCCCCATTTTGACTACACTGAGCTAACTTTTTTCCTGGATATGCTACGTATTTTCCAGTGCATTCACTATTTGCATGCACTTAGTATTATGTTTGCCTTTGTGATGAGCAATAAGATTATTTTAAATATGAAGTGATACTATTGATTAATATAAACTTTAGGGCCAATTCACACCACACAAAAGGTGCGCATAACCCATGCACTGTTGTGTGATGTTAACAAACACTATGCTGTGTTATTAAAATGCATTGCAATGTGTGCTATAAGGCCCAGTCTCAGTACAAAAACTTCTACTTTAAAAGAAAAAAAATTGAACAGACGGTAAATACTGACTGATAATTACAAATTGATTCTAGTGTCCAAAAAATCCAGTATCAAATCTTGAAAATCTAGGACTGACAAGACAGAATTGATTCCACCATCTTTGTTAGGTATTTCTGACCAGCATGTGCAGTAACTGTGAATGCTGTTTGGCATAGTGTAGGGGACACTACTACCACAACAGGAGATAAGCTATTTAGCTCACATGTTGCAAAAATGTCTCCATTGACTGTAGAAACTTGTGACCCAGGGACTTTGCAGTGCCTGTGAGAATGCCACAAGAAAGGAACTGTTGGACAGTGAATGGGAGCAGAGAAAATGTGTGGAGAGAGGATAGAAGATCATGACCTAGTGTTTGCTATGTGTGATGGTAAAGGACAGAATGACATGCACTTTGTACAAATTGCCCTGCTGGTAAATGAGCACTAATGATTACTTCCTGATCTTGGCATTTTTTCAGACATATAGACTTCCCTACAGCTGGAGGACAGCAAGAGAGGTGATGGGCAGTGCCAGTATGAAGACTAGCAATCAATTTACAAACCAAAGCAAGCAACAGAATGGCAGTGTAGGAAACACCCATCATTTGGCTGGCCAGCCACAGAAAGTGGTGGGGCCTTCATATATGCTGTTTAGATAGCAGCAGTATTGGTGGCCGTCCTAAGGAGATGTAGCTAAATAGCTTGCATCACAGCAAGCAACAGCATAGCAACAAACTTCTGCTAAGATACTATCCTCTATGGGTAGGAAGGGAGCTTACTCCTTCTTACTAAGGGATAGGCCTTTCTAGTGTATGTCATGGTTGTGGCTTTTTCCCATTCCACCTCTATCCCAAACATCACTTCCTAAGGTTTATGCCCAAAAAAATCAATACGTTGCAGATATGTAAGTAACAAGGATATAGGCTGTTTCCCTGGCTTAGCACATGATAGAAACATTTTGTGGCCTGCTTCATTTTAAACTAAGTAATACAGCAGACTGTACAGTTGGGACACCAGAAAGCTGTGTTGCAACATCAAAAAATCTGTTCCAGGAAAGCTTTGTTTGTCATTGGCATTGACTGTGTGCCGTCCTTGGTTATTGCAGGTTTCTGTAGCTTGGCAGTTTGTCTGTAATATAGTATTTAGCAAGCTTTGAGCTTCATATGTCTCACTTGCTTCTGTTTTGTCATATGTATGTGTACAGTCAGTTCTGTGGCTTTGTGATTTACACCAGGGACTTTGTGCTCTTTGGAACAAAGTGGGCTTAATTTATCAGTGTCTGAAGAAAGAACTATATTGGGAGAATTGTATGGAGAATCCCTTTGTTACGGTTGCAACAAGAGATCATTTTGATTTGGCTCTATTATGTTTCTCTCAATCTTTTCATTCAAACACTTTAAGAAAAAAATGCTTATATTTCTCTTTACATGACTGTCAAAATGGAAAACTAGTCTGCTACTTAGATTTCCCAGGCAACAAAAAAGCAGGGAATGTATTGAAACTAAAAGACTTTGCTTCGATTTACATTATTATGCACTGAAAAGACGTGCTGCAGCATCTTCCAGACTGCAACCCTTGTTCTTGGGAATGACTCCTCCTCTCTCTTCCTAAGGCAGTATACAAAAAATAATTGGTCTGGAGTTCTTTTAAACTTTATAAGTTTAACTTTATAAGCCATGATATTTTTCTGGGATGGCTACAGAGTAATAAAAGGTCCGAAGCGCTTACCTTCCATGGAGAAAATGGTGCCCTACTGTTTTTTCAGTCCTGACATAACTTTGTTTATAGAGTTCCCTGTTCTTTGTCTCTATTGGGGACAGAGACAGCAACATATGCACTTCTTAAACCTGCAAGAAATCTGTACTTAAGTCTTTTGTTGTCAGCTGTCCGTTAGAGGAAACTTTTATGGAGTCCCCATAGGCGTGCTTTAAGGATTGTGCTTTGTTTAGATTTTCTTATGCTTAAAGGGATATGAGGTTTGTGTGTTAAAACTGTGGAGCTGCAACCATTTCCATTTATTTATATTCTTGAGGTTCTTTACTACCTTTAACTATTCGGAACACAATATAATTTTGTTTTTTGTTACAGCTTCACACAAAAATACCCCTCCTGTGAAATTCTTATCCGAAAAAGATCGAAAGAGAATATTGGTAAGTGCAGCTAGATAAAGGTCTCTGTGTGGTACAACGCACTCATTCATTTGTTTCATGTAATATCAGCAGGGGGAGTATTTGTTTTTTAAATGTAACATGTTTTATAATCTCTAGATTCTCTACATAGGAACTGATGTTTGGGTTGGCTGTGAGGTTTAATTGAGAATTATCTTTGCAGATAACAGGAGGTGCTGGATTTGTAGGGTCACATCTTACAGACAAATTGATGATGGATGGTCATGAAGTCACTGTCGTTGACAACTTTTTCACAGGCCGTAAAAGAAATGTGGAGCACTGGATCGGTCATGAGAATTTTGAGCTGATTAATCATGACGTGGTTGAACCACTTTACATTGAAGGTAACACCACTCTTTGCTAGCATGCAGACACATTAAAGTCTAATCTTTATGGTTAGTCTGAACATGAACAGCATGATAAATTAAAGAGCAGCTCTGTCCCCACAAAGAAACTTATTGTGAAACAAGGCATGATAAGCCAGTTTTGGGGGAAAGATAAGCTGCAGGGAGCCTACAGAGCAGACTGGTGCTTTATATTTTTTGGCAGAGTATAGGCACACTTTTAAAATAACTACTACAAAGCATAAATTATTGGAAAGAACAACCAAGGATCCTAAAATTGTATAATTCACTTTAAATGTCTGCTGAAACTTCTTTCGGTTTGTCCAATATTCTAATTTTAAAAAAATGTAATTCTTTACATGTTCAAATAATATTTGTGCTATGTTTCTGAAAGCAGTCAACTCAGTCTCCTAAATCTTACTTTTCAATGTCTGTCATGCCATCCTGCAACAGTTATATGGATCAGTGGTATAGTCATCTTGGAATAGTTGATTTTATGGTCAAGTGTTACATACTAATGCTATTTTCCAATCTCGTTTTAATGAACCTGCTGTTTAATACTTTGCTGTGATTGTCATAAACAACTATCATTATCTGCGTGTTTGTTTGTTTTTTTTATAACCCCAGGCAGGATCAAATGTTTGATTTATGTGGAAAACCCTTTGTCATCTTCACACAACGTCTGAGAGCATGTCTTTTTTGTATATCTTTAAAAAAAAAAAAACTTGCATACCTTCAAATCCCTCCTCCTAAACACCACAAACTTGGAGCACCTTATAAAAATTCTGACTTGAGCTGAGAAATTTGCACCTCTGTCTTGGTCTGTAAGATTGCCTTTTACACTCATGGACCAATTTGGAGAGGCATGTGAGGCAGGAGAGTGACATGCAGGTTAATTCTCAACTTGTGGAGTTCAAGTGAGAATTTGTATAAATGAAACCTAATGCATAAAACGCTAGACAAAGGGTGTGCTAAATTTAGTAATTTTAAGCTCAAGTTTAGCCATAACAAAAAAAATCTCTATAGCTATAGTGAGCTAACTTACCTTGAATTTATTATGTCTGTCTCATGTTGTACAGGCAGCTAGATACTGTAGAAATCTTAACTGCAGGAATGTCCCATCATCTTCATGTCTCTGAACTTCCAGTGCTGCAGGGGTTTTATCTTTGCTTCTTCTGTGAAGCTGCTGTGAAAAAGTTCCTAATGAGGACCCCCTCCCTCCACTTCCATTAAGAAACATTGCTTTCACTGCCTGTAAGGATCAATTTACTTGGACAGTTAGTACATCTTGTAATTTTCAGCAGCAAGAATATGTGAATTTTTTAAGGATGTGGACATTTTTGAAAAAACTACTTGTCCAGGGACTAAATCGGTGTCCCAATCTACTTGTCCCTCTTGACAATCTACTTGTCCAGATAAGAAAATTTTTTTTTTTAGCCAAAACCGTATTTAAATCTGAGGTGCTTTTAGGAATGTCGGAGACTTTTAAAAACAAAAGGGGCTTTATGATGACTTAAATGTTTAATGTTTTTAACATTGGGTGGTTTATCTCCTCCTTGCCTCCCTGTCTGTCTCCAGCAGTGCACCCAGGGACCAGCAGAGAAGAGAGAGTGTAATGCAGTGTAATGAGCACCGATTGGGTGCTCGTCAGGAAAGGGGAATTTAGGGCTTATCCTTTATACTTTTCACTGCCATAGCCATTTGTTGTTTTTTTTTGCAATAAATTACACCATTTTTTAGTACAATATAAAAGATGAGATTGCACCAAGTAAATCGATACCTAAAATGTCAAACCTTACATTTGCGTGCGCTCGTGAAATGGTGACAAATTTTAGTACCCTATATGCGATGCTTTTAAAGCCCCTTATAGTTTATTAGCGTTGCGGAGGAGATCTAGAATTATTGCTCTCAATCTGGTATGCGCAGCGATATGTAACATGCGTATCGCAATAGACGTCTTCATATGTAGGCTTCCCAGCGTGTGCAGGTTTGTATGTGCGTATATATGTGGGGCAGCACAAAATATATTATTTTTTTTCGTTTTTACAATTTAAACCTTTTTTTTTTTTTTTCCCCATCACATAGAGGACAAAAAGTCCTCTATGTAATGATTTTTGGTGACAGGTTTCTTTGAGACATCCAGGGTCTAAAAGACCTAGAAACACTTGTATATGCTCAAAGGTTTTCTAGGCAGTGAAGGTGGAGAATCAAAATAATGATCTGTGGGAAATCCGCATTTTCAGAATAAGATTAAGTGGTAGCACACATTTCTATCATGACACATTCATGTAACTGTCCTGTGTTCAGAAAGTGTGTATGTAAAATTTTTACATTTTTATACAAATTTCACATGACTTCATACAGACCACTAAGTGCAGCCTTTGGGGACTATGCTGCCCAGCCTTAAGACATGCCTTTATTCTGCATTTATTGCTTCTAGACTGCAGTGGGTAGAAAATTAATAATTTCCAGATTCTCAGGGCTGTGCATTATTTTCTGGGATAAACTGATTCTAACTGTGCAGGGCAAGGGTTCTCACCAAGCCAAACTATAGAACCAGGTTACTAGCAGCCAAAGAACTTTATAGATCGGTATATCTGGCGTGTATTCAGATAATGTTAAAATAAAAACAGAAAATCCTGGGCAGACTTTATGTAGTTTCTGTATGTAGTTTCACTGGACTATATTCATAAGAATTTTGTTCTTTCCCATACAGTGGACCAGATTTACCACTTAGCTTCTCCGGCTTCTCCTCCAAATTATATGTATAACCCTATCAAGACACTAAAAACCAACACAATTGGGACACTTAACATGTTGGGTGAGTGTGACGCCACATGCATTTGTTGTGTTTTTTTTTTTTTTTTTTTTTTTCCTACTGTCTAACCTGCTTATTACCTGCTAACCTGCTAATTAAGAATTTCCAGAAAAACTCCAACCAAAGCATTTATAGTTTATTTTTGAAGTTGTGAAGGGTTAGAACCTCTGGTATGTATTGCCAAGAGATTTCCTAACTCTCTGTTGTCTCTTGACAGTAAGAGAATTTCCATATTTGACCATTAAAACTTTGGTTGGGAGCTTAATTTTGAGCTCTGTATTTTTCATTCTTTGCATAAAGTATACATTTAGAGGTATTGCAGAATTTGAGAGATCATGTTTGTTTTCTAGGATTAGCAAAACGCGTTGGTGCCCGCCTTCTACTGGCTTCTACGTCAGAGGTCTATGGAGGTAATGAGCTCTTAATAACCTTTTTTTTTTTTTTTATATTTTAATGTAACCCTCAACGTTGGTAAAAATATTTTTTAGTAACATACAGTATACACTGGCTTTTTTTCTCCCAGTTTCAAAACAAGCCTGTGCCATGCTGTTTAGTCTTTATTACAAAAATGAAATTATTTGTTATAACTTTTTTGTGCACTTTAACCCCTTCGCACCTAAGGGCAACACGAATCTTAACGCCTAAGCACAATTTTGCAATTTTGAAGTGTGTTAGCAAAACTGTACATATCACAACTACTTTGTGCATCCAGGTGGACTATACCTTGTTTTGTTTTTTGTTTTTTTTTGTTTTTTTTTTTCAGGACAAATTGGGCTTTCATTTGGTGGTAAATGGATAGATATGTTCTGATCTTAAAATCAAAGGAAAACTGGCCCAAAATAGTAAAAAAAAAAACAAAAAACATTTTTATAAATTTAGCTGTATATTTCTTGCGACTACCATAACCTACCACCAAAGAACATCCCAAAATAATTTCTCCTGCTCCTGACAATCGCAGCGATACCATATGTTTTTTTTTTTTTTTTTTTTAATTTTCTTCTCTCTGAAAGCACAGAGAGATCCATTCAGAGAGAGAAGATACAGGGGTAGGCCTCACAGGGACTGATCCTTGTGATAGCCAACTAGAGGCTATCACAGCGATCAAGTGACCTAGAATTAGAAGTTCCGGATCCCAATCGTTGGAACGGGACCCAGGGCTTTCAGTGAGACCCCGGTCTCTGTGCAGGGAGAGTGCTACACAAATTAGCGGCCCTATGGAAAACAGTCCAGTCCAGTGGGGCAAATTGCGTGAAGGGGTTAGCATCAGTTAACGTAGTCTGCGTGAAGGGGTTAACATCAATCGGTAGTCACATTGGTATTGTTTTATTTATGTTTCCCAATTATGTTGTGCAAATGTGCTTTGTAAATTCCGATTAATTACATTTAAAATCACACATAGTTTCCCTATTTACAGGGCAGCAGGAGAATGTTTGTGACTGCTGTGCACATAAGCCCCTATGAGTCTGAACAGTGCAAGCACCAGCACTCCCCTTTCTCTCATTTACAGACCATGTACAGGGTGTTACTGAGTTGTCAGATGTTTTCCTTTCCCTCACCTAAAATAGTGCCCACCTAGCTGCCAGACAGCTTGACAAGTAGACAATGGATGAACAAATAATGAAGCCAAAAAAGGTACATGATTAACTTAGGGATGATTTTTTTTTTTTTCAGAAAGAGCTTGTCCAGCCACATCATATTTTAAAAAAGGCTACAGGTCACGTTTAAATTTCCAAATCTTCTCTGACAAATATGTAAGATTCCTAAATCTTTGTTATTCAGGTCGCTGACCTCTTTTTAACCACTCGCCCTCCTGAGGATTTACCCCCCTTAATGACCAGGCCTCTTTTTGCTACTCGGCGCTGCACTAATTCAACTGATAATTGCGCGGTCATGCAATGCTGCACCCAAATGAAATTTACGTCCTTTTTTTCACACAAATAGAGCTTTCTTTCGGTGGTATTTGATCACCTGTGCGCTTTTTATTTTTCATGCTATAAACAAAAAAAGACCAAAAATTGTGAAGAAAAACAATATTTTTTACTTTCAGCTATAAAAAATATATAGTAAACTCAAAGTTGGTTATAAATTAGGCCAAAATGTATTCTGCTACATGTTTTTGGTAAAAAAAATCCCAATAAGTGTATATTGATTGCGTTGTGTGAAAGTTATAGCATCTACAAACTATGGTATAGATACTGCAATTTACGAAATTTTTTTGCTATACAGCTCTGCATTAGTTTTAACGGCCAATTGCGCGGTCATGCAATACAGTACATAAATTAAATTTACATCCTTTTTTTCCCACAAATTGAGCTTTCTTTTGGTGACATTTGATCGCCTGTGTGTTTTTTATTTTTTGCGCTATAAAAAAAAAAGGCTGACAATTTTGAGGAAAAAAAAACCAATATTGTGGACTTTTTTGCTATAAAACATGTCCAGTAAAAAAATGCAAAAATCAAAGTTAGTCATAAATTTCTGCCAAAATGTATTCTGCGACATGTCTTTACACAAATTGGGTTTTTTTTTTTGTTTTTTTTAGCAAATTAATTGGTTTACGTGAAAGTTATAGTGTTTACAAATGGCGGGAAAGGTACTGGGATTTTAAATTTTTTTTCTTTTTTTATACGAATATGGCGGTGATCAGCGACTTATGGCGGGACCGCGGCGGACATTCTGACACTGGGGGGGAACTGACTTGGGGTCACTGACATCCCCAGTGACACCAATACAGTGATCAGTGCAAAAAAAAAAAACCACTGACACTGTACTAATGGCACTGGGGAGGAAGGGGAGGGTTAACTTTATTTACTGAAAGGGTTAACTGAGGGGAGTGTTTTACTAGGGGGCGGGGGTGTGGACTGCACGGGAACATGCTGATCAGGAGAGATAAACTCTTCTCTCCGGATTAGCATGTCAGGAGCTGACAGGGGACTGACAGAAAGCACAGCTGCAGTGTAAACACTGCAGCCGTCCTCTGTCAGTGATTGCCGCTAATCGCCAAGACACGGTAGGTAATGACCGGCCGTGACCCGGCGACTGACACCCGCGGCCATGATCGGCGGGACAGGTATGGCTGGCACGCGCCTTGTGCATGCCCCCTACCTGTTTTGCAAACACACGTTTTAAAATGTGGTTTTGCCCAGCCGTGCCGACCTGCCACAGTATTTCTACAGTGGCTGGTCGGCAAGAAGTTAATATGATAGAAGGCAGAAAGATTAAAATGAAAAGCATACCATGCCAGTTGTGTATACTCTGGCAGTATGACATCTGCAGCCTTGTTATAAATCTCTTATTAGGCCACTTTTACATAGCACTGCTGATTGGGCATCTGCTAAGCAGTCACAATTGTACAAGTTCTGGCCTGAACAGTCTGCTGAAAAATATGTAGTATGATTGACTGTTAGCTATAAGTACTTTCTAATGGTTGTTTGTGGATTCCTGTATATTCATTATATTATATAGTTCTTTTGCTTATGTAGAAAGGGGCCATTCCAGTCTTTACAATGCTTCATGATATGCCGTAACACAAGCTTGGCAACATCATCTTATGATAGCATAAATATTTAGGCATATCTGCATACTGGCTTTTTTTTATCTTTACAGATCCTGAAGTACATCCACAAAATGAAGACTACTGGGGACATGTCAACCCCATTGGTCCGCGTGCCTGTTATGATGAAGGGAAGAGAGTGGCAGAAACAATGTGCTACGCTTACATGAAACAGGTTAGATGTATGTTGGTGTAAAACCTAAAAGTGGCACTAAAAAGTGAAGATTTATTGTGTTCTAGGAAACTTAAAGGATAAGTTCACCTTTGAAAACCCTGCCCTGCCCCTCCCCCTTTCCCATGGAAGCCTTCAGTCTACATGTGATCTTACTCACTTGATTGGGAGCTACTGATTGGTTCCCATTATTAATAAGGGGACCAGAGCTGTCTGTCTGAGCATATATGAACCTTCTTTCAGCATGATTCATTGTAAAAGGGAATTGTTAACCCCTTAGTGACTAATGGTAAAACAAATGTTAATGCCCAAACACAATTTTGCAACTGTGACGTGTGTTAGTAAAACTGTATATATCATCGCAACTACTTTGTGTATCCAGGTGGATTATACCTTGGTTTTTTTTCAGAACAAAGTGGGCTTTCTTTTAGTGGTAAATGGTAATTGACTATCTCATGATTTTTTTTTTTTTTTTGGTTTGTTTTTATTATCAAAGGAAAACTGGCCCAAAATAGTATAAAAAAAAAAAATATATTTTTTTTAAATTTAGCTGTACATTTCTTGCTACTACCATAAACCTACCACTAAATAACTCAAAATACATTCTCCTGCTCTTGACGATTGCCGTGACACCACATTGCGTTTTTGCTGTTTATACCTGTAGTACAGCCCTGAAACTATAATGCGCATTTTGCTTTTTTATCCTACCTAAAACATTCTGACACTGATACTAAAAAAATTTTGTATTTTTTAAACCTACCCAAAAAATACTGACCATGACCTGGGCTTGACCTTTGACCCTTACATGACCCAAACACTAACCCTGCACTGACCTAGATCAAAGCTTGATGTAGGTATTTTTATTTAATTTTATTATTTATTTGTTTTCATTTAAATGTTATTTTTTTTAACACGCATTTGTTTACACATCTCCATGCAAGGAGAGAGAGATGCAATGTATCTCTCTCTCCATTCAGAGAGAAAGTAAAAACAGTGGTGGTTGCACAGTGACTGATCACTGTGATGGCCAATCAGTGGCTATCACTGCGAATAGGTGACACCAGAATCAGGAGTCCTGGGTTCTAATCATTACTGTGGGACCCAGTGCTCCTGGTGGGAGCCCGGTCTCTGTGCTTGGAGCGTGCCGTGCGGTGGTGCTCCCAGCACAAAGACTGGCATCTCTGCGGCCGCACATAAAGTCCAGTGATGCCACACACATGCGTACTGTCAGCGGGACAGGGTTACAGACCAAGAATAATAGCAGATACAGCAAGTAAAATTAGTATTGAACATGTCACCATTTTTTCTAGGTAAATATATTTCTAAGGGTGATATTGACATGAAATTTTCACCACATGTCGGTAACAACCCATGCAATCCATACATACAAAGAAACCACAACAAATAAGTTCAGAAATAAGTTATGTGTAATAGAATTGAATGACACAGGGAAAAAGTATTGAACACACAAACTGAAATTTAATACTTTGTACAAAATCTTTTGTTGGTAATGACAGCTTAAAGACACCTCCCTGTGTCTCCCTTCCTGTGAAACTAGTCACATGCGTTGCTCAGGTGTAGTTTTTGGCCCATTCTTCCATACAGCCTTCAAATCTTGAAGGTTCCGTGGGCCTCTTCTATGAACTCTGATCTTTAGTTCTTTTCATAGATTTTTCTATTGGAATCAAGTCAGGTGATTGGCTGGGCCATTTTAGCAGCTTTATTTTCTTTCTTTAAAACCAATTGAGAGTTTTCTTGGCTTTATTTTTGGGATCATTATCTTGCTGACACCTCCACCCTCGTTTAATTCATCATCCTGGTAAATGGCAGAATATTTTTATAAAGAATGTCTGTTATATTTTTCCATTCATCCTTCCTTCAATGACATGAAGTTTGCCAGTACCGTATGCTGAAAAACAGCCCCACACCATGATGTTCCCACCTCCAATCTTCACTGTTGGTATGGTGTTTTTGGGGATGTGCAGTGCCATTTGACCTCCAAACATAGTGTGTATTATGGCATCCAAAGAGTTACATTTTGATCTCATCTGACCAGACTATCTTCTCCCAGTATTTCACAGGCTTGTCTAAATGTTGTGCAACAGACTTTGAACGAACGTCAACATGCTTTTTCTGGGTGTTTTCTGAAGCTTTTCACAAGTGGTCATTGGCTCTTGGACAACTCTTCTGTTTTCTTTTCACTCCTCTGTCAGAAATCTTGCGAGAAGCACCTGGCCGTGGCCGATTTATGGTGAAATGTTCTTTCCACTTCTGGATTATGGTCCCAACAGTGCTCACTGGAACATTGAGAAACTTAGAAATCCTTCTGTAACCAATGCCCTCAGTATATTTTGCAATAATAAGGTTGCAAAGGTCTTGGTTGACCTCTTTGCTTTTACCCATCATGAGATATTTCTTTGCACCTCCCTTTCTTCATGTGTTCAGTACTTTTGTCCTCTGTCATGAGCGATGCATGTGACTAGTTTCTCCATACAGGTGTCTTGAATCTGTCATTACCAACAAAAGATTTTGTACAAAATATTAAATAAATTTCAGTTGGCGTGTTCAATACTTTTTCCCAGTGTCATTCCATTTTATTACACAACTTATTCTGAACTTATTTGTTATGTTTTCTTTTGTATGTATGGGTTGTTACCGACCTGGTGAGAATTTCATGTCAATAGCACCCTTAGAAATATATTTACCTAGAAAAATGGTGATGTGTTCAATACTTATTTTACCTGCTGTATTGATAGTAGTAATGAAATTTCTATTACTAGCATAATGTGTACTGTTGTGCAGCCCAAGAAGGACACCTCTCAGTCTTCCTAGCTTATTCTGTAATTGTAGTTTCTATGCAGGAAGAATTTTTTACATTGCCAGCTCCAAAATTTTATTCAACATGCTACAAAGAAATTAAATTACAACTTTTCTAAGTTAAGTAGAAACTTTAAAATCACATATGCCAGTTAAATGATTGGACTACACAACATTTTCCATATCTAGCAGTCAACACCGTTAGGATTTAATTTATTTTCAGATACCAGTATGCCATTTGTGGTTACTGCTTAGTATAGCCGTAAAAAACATTAGAAAAGGATCACGATGGGGGTAAAAAACGAATTGCAGTGTTGTCACCCTTACTGCTGCTGCTTAGATACCAGAACAGAAGTACCCCCTTTACATTTGCATTGTGTGTATATATCTCTTATTCATGCCTGTAGAACCTTTTAAATGAGCACTTCCTGTGATAGGCTCATTGTGGCGTTTTCACCTTTGCTGCTGCTGCTGCACGATTGACAGCCTATTGGTGAATAGCTATGGTTAGCTTTGCTGTAGCTCTTTAGATTGACAGTACATTTCTCTAGTTGCAGAGGCTTAGGAAAATGATGTTAAAGTGATACTAAATTCATTACACTGAACTAACAATGTAAGTCTCCCACAGTACATAATACATGGTAATGCATTTATTTTAGTAAACTGAAACTGCTAAATACCTTCTTTTTTTTTTTTTTTTTTTTTTTTTTTTTTTTTTTTCTCAGCAGCTGTATACAATGGTCATGTGTTTTTCTGTGTCCGCCGACTGAGTGCTGTTTTCATTCTTCTCCCTGCAGAGGCTGCATGACCCTATGTTGAGCACTCTCCACTAAAGCCTGTGTCCACATGCTTTTATGGGAGGCGGTGCCTCCATCAATTAAGATATGAAATCCCATCCACTGTGTACTTTTTATGTTACTGGGCCATGAAGGAGGAGGGAGGGACTGGGCTGTCATTTAGAATCTGTATACATGCCCTAATGCGTGATGTCAGTCATGTGACCTGAATAGCTCTGATCATAGAGGATATTATCTCTAGCAATCCACACAAAACAGAGCATGTGTAGATTTCCCACAATTGGCAGATGGATTGGGGACAGTATAAGAAGGGGAGCATCAGAGAACAGCAGGATCAACAAGCCTGTGTACATGCTGTGGAGAATTAACACCTTAGGTTCCACAGGGAGTATAACAAGGATAGTTTACTGCATATGCAGACTGATATTTAGTATTGTGAGTTTAGTAACACTTTAAAGCCTTGCTCAGAGTCCCTCCCACCTCCATCCAGCATAGTCTTTTGGGTTCCAGGAAAAAAATTAGTATCCCAGCTGCATTTACCTTATTCTCCACTACAGGGGACATTTCCTCTTCAGCAAAGTTTTGTGTGTGTGTGTGTGTGTAAGTAAATATTTTAAGATAAATCCAGCCAAAAGCTTCTATAGAGAAACCTAGAAATGGGAAAGTAGAAGCAAGAGTAGGAAAGAAGATGACAATCCATGACAGATGACACTTAGCTTTGGCCAAGGAAGGGGAGTCTGAGTAAAAGGTTGTGCCTAGAAAAACCCTACATATTTCACAACTGCTACTGACTGCTCTTCAGCTGATCTTCTGACACACTTTGTGGTCTTTACTTTGTGTAAAAATGTAGCAAAGTTTTTTGTTTTTTTGATTTTTTTTTCTATAATTGCTTTTTTTGAGGTTTGATTATGATTGTCCACAGTATTTTTGTACTTTGACAGTTTAGTAAATACGAGAATATATAATGCAAAGAGGTGGTTTTTTTTTTTTGGTTTTTTTCTTTCTATTGGGACCTTTTTTTGTTTTGTTTTTTTCTTAAAGAAAAATCAGCCACTCTGAACTCTGATTGTCCCATTCAACAAAAATCAATCTCTGCTTTTGCTTGTGACCAGCAATAGGAGTGTGAAGCATCAACGATGTTTCTTGCCAAATTTTCAGGAAAAAATACATTTAGTTACATTTTAGTGCACACAAACTTAATAGAAAACCCTTTTTATTTGCTAAAATATAAAAAATTATGTTGCGCTAAGTAAATACATGTCAAAATTTTAAATTTCACATGCATGTGAAATGGTGACAAACTATGGTACCTAGAATTGTTCATATACAGTGCTTTCTAAGCCTTTACAGCTTAGAAGTTGAGAGTTAAAATGTGAGCTCTGGCACTAG